GGATTCTGTTCTTTACAATTACAGCAAGTTTTTTTAAAATGCAAGAGGTTGTTGTTGGTCTGCAGGGCTTGGCCAGCTAAGCAGCCTTGTGGCAGGTACAGACAACAGAGGACAATTCGAGGATCCCGCTACAATAATAAACGGCAGCTAGCGACCATGACCACTTATTATACGCCAGGCACTGCGCTAGGTAGTAGGCTCTTTGTGGCAGCTCCAAACTTCCCAATAACTCTGTGAATTAAGTGCTTTATCTCCATTTCATAGATGAAGAAACAGGTTCAGAGAGAAAAAAGTTCTTTCCCAAAGTGGTGCAGGTAGTAAGTGGTAGAATCAGGGTTCATAGCATCACCATGTGGGACCAGTATTTACAGGGAAAAGGAAAGTCACAAGTCGTCTTCTTTTTTTTTTTTTTTAATTTTATTCAAGTATAGTTGATTTACGATGTGTTCATTTCTGCTGTACAGCAAAGTGATTCAGTTATACATATATATACATTTTTTTCACATTCTCTTCCATTATGGTTTATCACAGGATATTGAATATAGTTCCCTGTTTATCCAACAAGTCTTTGCAAAAATGAAATGACCACTTTTCTTGCACAGACTAAAAAACTCTAGCTGGCATTCTTAGGTTGGGAAACCACTGAATTAGTAGTCAAGCCTGACAGCCAAGTGAGTTTTAAAACCCAAAGTATGGAGCATGAATTTTCCTACACCATCTGCTGCGCTAATTAACAGTCCTGCCTCAGTCTCTCTCTCTTTCTCTCTCTTTTTTTTAAAGGATTTTGCACTTGGCCAGACAAGAGGGGAATGCCCATTATTCTCCCTTCCTAAGCTAGAGCCAAGTAAAAGAAGGTTCAGTTTTCCCCCCATAAATATTCTTGGGAGATGAATCTCTATCTGAGGTTTATTTTGTTTCAAGCATGTGTGCATCCAGAATGCTGGTCCAACAAAGTACATTGCTTTCCAGTCCAGCTAGGCAGAGCCCTTTGGCCAAAAGTCAGTTTATTTTGGATGAGATGGATTTCCTGACAAGGTGTGTTTGTTTTCTTGTGACAGGAAGGCAGAGAAGCAAATCCTAGTCATTTTTTTCCTTGAATACTAAATTCAGGATAGGTCAGCTGGCTTCCATTGAGCCCTGAGTGTCAGTCATTGCTTGAGCATTTGTGACTCAAGCTTCCAGGGGACTCTGGGCCTCTCACTTGTTCTCTCCTAGGAAACAATGACCCAGACCTAACTGTGTCTTTTAAAAATCTCAGATTCTCCAGGAATATCTTTATTGCTTCCTCACCAGTAATTTTGAAGCAAATTTCCATTTTTCTTTTTCCTTGTCCCTTCTCCCAACCACCAAGTGGATGGACGGATGGATTCGTGGACGAGTGTTTGGCTTGATGGATACATGGTTAAATAGATAGATAGACGGACACACAGACAGACCCAATACTCCAAAGCAACTTAAGAACTATAGCCTTGACTCCTTCAGACTGTAGGTTCTGATCCAGGAAACATTTATTTAGCACCTGCTGCAAGAGATGTATTATTTATACCATTTAAAATTCAGTTGTGCTTACCAATATCAGGAATGAGAGAGGTGACATCATTACAGATCCTACAGATATTAAAAGGCTAATAACAACTTTATGAATAACTTTATGCTAATAAATTCAACAACTTAAATAAAATGGACAAATTCCTTGAAAGATACAAAGTACGTACCATACCTCACTCAAGAAGAAGTAGATGATCTGAATAACCCTTTATCTATGAAAACTTAATGGCTCTGGGTGATACACATATTACTGTCCTCGTTTGACAGATAAGGAAACCGAGGCTCAAGAGAGGTAGAGTCTGTTGCTCAAGGTCAGGTAGCTAGAATACGGCAGAGCCAGAATTCAAATCCAGGTCTTCTGATCCTCATTCCAGTGCCCTTTCTAGCATACCACGTTGCCTCTAAAGATTGCAGCTCCTTTTTTACCGGAAAATTGTTCCTGCCCAGTCCACATCCTCTCACCCCATCCTTTCTTAAGCACTATGTCTGTATTTTCACCAGGATTACAGTCATTGTATTTGGAATCCATGTTCTTTTTTGTGTTTGGAAAAAGAAAATCTCTTCTACCAGCTTGCACTCAGACCAACTTGGAAAAAAAAAAAGCTTAAATGCTGTTGCAGACGTACAACTTAAAAATGTGAAGTTTGTAGCTTTAACTTTTTGTAACAAAAACTAATAACACTGGCTTAAGAGCCGACTTGAAATGCTATTTTATAAAGTTTGGATGTAAATAACCAATCGAGGTCAGCAGTTTGTATATGTATGAGACATAGCTTCCTCCACTGCCTTTTTTTTAAAAAATTGAGATGCTTCCTATGTGCTTTTATGTTAGAATTGTTGTTCTCCCTCCTTCCTCCTTCCTCCACCTTGTCACCGTTGTTTTAAATAAACTATCATTTGGACCAGAGTCTATCCTCTTTTTAAAAATGAGAGCCTCCATCTATAGCCTGGATGGTGGTATTGTGAAACTTTGTGACATCGACTCTGTGGTGTGTTTATTCTGGAATCCAAAGCCAGGGGTAGAGGTAGGTGGCATAGGAAGTAAACTTTTGTTGGACACCTACTGTGTGCCAGGCACTGAGCTGGTTGTCAGGGAGTTAAAGATGAACTAGGCACAGCTCTTGCAGGCCACCTGGGGAGTCGGTTCAGCCCACAAGCATACAACATTGGAAATACTATGGTAGAAGAAAGTACACAACCTGTGGACACAGGAGGGAGCAACAGTCGGTTCTGCTAGGATGTCCAAGGAAGCTTTTCTGGAGGAGGTAATACATCCTGCACTTTAAAAATGAGGAAGAGACGGCAGGTGGAGAAGGGGTGAGAAGTGAGGGAGATGAGGCATCCTGGGCAGAGGGACCAGCCTATAGAAAGGGTCTGGTGTGAGAGTCTGGACATAGGATCACTTTGGCATCCTTCATCTCTGTCTGTCATTGATGAAGCCAGGCCATGCACTGCCCAGCATTCAGAGGGGATCGGCTGGGTCCTGCCCATCCTTATCCAGAAACAATTCCCTAGCCTGAGCCTGGGTTCTCTTAGTCTTAAAAATTTACTCCAGGGCTTCCCTGGTGGCGCAGTGGTTGAGAGTCCGCCTGCCGATGCAGGGGACACAGGTTCGTGCCCCGGTCCGGGAAGATCCACATGCCGTGGAGCGGCTGGGCCCGTGAGCCATGGCCGCTGAGCCTGCGCGTCCGGAGCCTGTGCTCCGCAACGGGAGAGGCCACGACAGTGAGAGGCCCGCGTACCGCAAAAAAAAAAGAAAGAAAGAAAGAAAGAGGCCCTGGGAGATGTGACACACACAGAGGAGAAGGCAACGTGATGACAGAGGCAGAGACTGGAGGGAGGAAGCCACGTGCCAGGAAATGCTAGCAGCTGACAGAAGCTAGAAGAGGCAAGGAGAGGACTCTACCCTGGAGCTTCTGGAGGGAATGTGGCCCTGCTCACACTTTGATTTTGGAATCTGGCCCCCAGAACTGTGAGAGAAATAAATTTCTCTTGTTTCAAGTTTGTTTCATCGTTTGTGGCAATCGGTTACAGCAGCCACAGGAAACGATACACCTTCCAATGAATTAATTTTTTTTCTTAAGGAAGTCAGTTTCTGTTGCTTGCAAACAAAGAACTCTAACTGTAACCGTTGTTCATCATTTCACTTATTTATTCTAATGAATTACCCTTTTTGATTAACTTAGTGACCTGCTGGATTCCTATCACTTACAACCTGCCTAATCCAAGACTGGAACCCGAGAATGTGGATTCTGAGTCACTCCACGTATCACCCACCATCCCCAGTCACCCAGAAAGCACGCCAGGCAGCCAGCTTCACACAGGCAGAAACAGGCCCCTGGGCCCAGTCTATTTGCAGAATGGTTTTCACTGATACACGGGAGTGGGAGTGAGTCGTTGCCTTTCTACCAGGGCCACACACAGCCTCATGATGGATGCAGGTCAGATGATTTTTCCCTGAGCTTTCCTCACACCAGCTCTAGGGACTCGAAGTCTGGAAGCTATCTGGCTCCTTGGTGTATGTCCAGCAAGACCACAAGGGTGGTGCATGCAGCCCTTCTGGTCTCTGTGCTCCGACCTGAGCAGAGCTGGGCCTAGAAGTTAGGAGGTGAGTGTGCAGGAGGGCTGGGGTGTGTGTGTGGTGAATTCATAGGCGACCCTTTGGCTTAGCTCCAGTCTCTGCTCCAATCTGGAGACTCAATCCACCCACATGTAGGGGCCTCCTATGTACCAGGCCCTGTGTATGCCACAAGGCCTTTGCACATGCTGTTCCCTCTGCTTGAAACGCTTCCAGGCACCCTCATTGCCTAATTAGGTATTTATCCCTAGGATGAGATAGTCACTTGCTCAGGAAAGTCTACTCTGACCTCGGTTAACGGTCCCTGCTCCATTACGCGCTTATAGTTCCCTTTACTTCATAAAGCTATTACATACTTATGGGGTTATTGAATTAAAATCCATCTCCCCCACTAGTCTGTACGCTTCACGAGTATAGGAATATATATTTTGTTCCCCACTGTATCTCTGAAACCTAGTAAGCAGCTGATAAATAGGAGGCCAGGTGGGTAAAGTAAATCTGAGAAGTGGCGGGGCTCACACCGTGGGGTCTGTGTGTATGAGGAGGTGGGTGGGAGGGGGACGCTGTGGGGAACTGGAGAGCCTGCGCTTCGCCCAAAGGCATTTGAATTTTAAAAAATACACTCAGCCAAACAAAACACGTCTGCAGGCCACACGTGAAGCCCCAGCTTATGCCTCTTCTCAAAGATGTTTGTTGAATGAATGAGTAAAGAATTTACAAGGAAGTCATTTTTATTTTTTTATTTTTTTTTTTTAAGTTTTTTTGATGGGGACCATTTTTAAACGAATTTGTTACAATGTTGCTTCTGTTTTCTGTTTTGGTTTTTTGGCCATGAGGCATGTGGGATCCTAGCTCCCCGGTCAAACCCGCACCCCCTGCATTGCAAGGCAAAGTCTTAACTACTGGACCGCCAGGGAAGTCCTAGGAAGTCATTTTTAAATCCTCAAAGAGCAAGGAGGAGGAGAGAGGCAAACTGAAAGGATCTCCTTTGCGGTCTTGTCTCTGTCCTCTTAAGGACAAGGTCTCTCTATTTCCTCTTTCTCCTCAGTGCTCCACATGTAGTAGGCTGTACAAATTGGTTGATCTATTCAACGTTTACTAAATACCTGCTCCACGCAAAGCCAGGTTCAACCAGACAGTGTCTTCCATCCTGGAGCTCAGTGTGGTGGGACAGAGCTACAGTCCGGCAATGACACGATAGCGATGGCTGTCCCAGCCACAGTATGTGGAAAGGGCTGCAGGACTTTCTCAGCAAATAGAGAGAGGATTCAGCAGGCGAGTATAAAACATGTGGCCCCAGCAAGGATGAGAGGGCTGGACCTGGCCACAAGGGACAGGAGGCTCAAGCGTTTGCCCGGATGGTGACCCAAGGGAGGGCTGGAAGTCTGCGTCATGGGCAGAAGGTAACTGCCAAGATCAGCCTGGGGGGATCTAGGGAAGGGGCGACAGGTGTCGATGCATGGCAGCTCCTTGCCACCAACACTTCAGAGCTGAGCTGGCTTTAAATCAGTGCTCCATTTGGCTTTCATCTCCCTCTGGGGCACAGATTGTGACCATCTAATAGATGGGCTGAACTGTGGAAATGGAGTAGGTCCTAGCATAGCTGGTCTAGACCTCAGGCCTCAGGCCAGGGCCCCTTCAGATTTTCTGTATCTTAAGCCAGCCCTTGGAGGAAGCTTCAGGACTATTGTTTAACAAGTCTTGCCCATCCACTAAGGGGGCAGCCTCCTACCTAGTCCTTCCTTTAAGACCTCATCTTTGAAAGCTGACTCCTGTTGCAAGCTCCTGGAAAAGAACCACAGCTGAGGTCCAGAAGCCTACATCTGAATCCCCTGCCTGGTCCTTTCCCTAGCTCTAACAGAAGGTTCTAACTCTATGAACCAACTCTGGGGGTTCCATGAACCCCCTACAACCACATGCAAATTTTGTGAGGGCAGAAGAAAGACCAGTGGAAGGAACATTGCCTTGGCAGAGACCCACGAGCTGGGATTCCAACCCTAGCTCCACCACTTCTAGTGGTGCGACATCTGGGCAAGTCATTGTGCCTCTCTGAGCCTGTTTCCTCATCTGTGAAATGGGGACGATTCCCATCCTCCAACAGAGGGCCAATGTGACACGGCTAACAGACAGAAGGCGCTCAGGAATTGTTAGCGTCCTTTTGACTTTCCCTCTTTGGCTCATGCCTGCACTGTGGGTGGCTTGGAGGTTCGTCTAGAAAGGTCTCTGGGGTGCTCCCCAGGCTCACAGAATCTAGGGTAACATTGTGCTGCCCTGCGCCTTTGGAGGAAAGGACCCGGCCTCCAGGTGTCATTTCTGAAGCCAGAGTGAGTGATACTGAGAGGCCATGCCACCAGGAAGAACTTAAGCAGGGGAGGGATCTCTGCTCTGTTTCAGCTCACTGCAGGGGTGTGGGAAGGGGGGCACGGAGCCCTGGTTTTAATAAACCTGAGAGTTTGGAGGCCCACTAGTGGCCTGAGCCTCCAGGTCTTCAGATCTTCCCTCCTGGGAGGTCTCTCGGGAGGTCTCCAGAGACGCCTCCGACACTCCGTCAACGCTGCTCAGCAAGTCCTCAAACTCCCAGTGGTCACTGTTGCGCACGGCAGCCTCCAGGGCCTTCTGGCGTCGGTAGAAGTGGGAGAACTTGTTGAAGATGATGGTGATGGGGAGCGCCACCACCAGGATGCCCCCGAGGATGCAGCCCGACGCTGCCAGCTTGCCGGCCACTGTCACCGGCACCACATCCCCATAGCCCACGGTGGTCATGCTCACCGTGCCCCACCACCAGCAGGCCGGGATGGTGTCAAAGCCCACATCCTCCTCCTTCTCGGCTGTGTAGGCCACACAGGAGAACACAGACACACCCACGGCCAGGTACAGCAGCAAGATGCCCACCTCACGGTAGCTGTGCTGGAAGAGAATGCGGGAAGTCAGAGTTGGTGAACTTACAGACCCAGTATTGGGCACATGGGGAAACTGAGGCCCAGAGAGTAGAAGGGGCAGGTCCAAAGTCACAAAGTGGAGCTGGTGCCAACACCCAGGTGCCCTGCCTGCACACTAAGGTCGTTCAACTACAGTAGCCAGCAAATCGCCCTGAGACTGAACACAGGCCTGATTTCTGTTGTCCAAAGTGCCTGCCTGCTAAACCATGGCTGTTTCTTCTAATGCAGGGGCCACTGGTGGGGCCAGCCAGTTGATGGAAAGCTGGTGATTTTTACACTGTTGCAGAACCAAGAGAGAACCGCAGTTTCTATGCCACAATGTAGAGTTGGTTTCATGTCCTTTTGACTGGTCTCTCCCATTTCTGTTAAGTACAAAAGTATTTTCTGCCTCTCGAGGAAGCTAAGAGGATATATAAGTTCCCTGAACCACCCACTGGATGCACTTGCCTGTGGGTGTGTATACTTGTTCTGCCCCCAACGCCTTACGGCACTGATGCTCGAATAGGGCAGTTCTGTCCCCCAAGGGACACGTGGCAACGTCTAGAGACATTCTTGGTCGTCACAGCTGGGAGAGGTGTGCTACTGGCATCTAGTGGGTAGAGGCCAGAGACGCTGCTAATCACCCTACAATGCACAGGACAGCACCCCGCAACCCAACAAAGGATGATCTGGCCCCAAATGTCAGTAGTGCTGAGGCTGAGAACCCCTAGTGTGGAACAGGGCCTCCCAAACTGTAAGGTGCAGAGAAATCATGTAGGGGGAACTAACTGAGTAGGTCTGGGGTAGGGCCACAGGTTTTGCAAACTCCCAGGTAATTAGGAAGCTGCTGCTGGCCAGGGGCCTGGCTTTGAGTAGCAAGGCTCTCATCCAAAGTCTTACACCCGTGCCCTGGACGCTGCAGCTTTGATCAGCACTCTTCTCCTTCCCTGCAGAAAAAGCTAGCAGCATCAGGCCCTGGCTGCCTGCATGGTGGAGGCAAGGCAGAGTTCTGGGGCGGACTGTCCCTGGAGAAATGCTCAGTTCAGGGGTCTGGCTAATGGAATTCCCTCTACCTGCCCTAGCAGTCTGCCCAGGTCGCCCTGCCTGCACCCAGCATCCTGGCTGTCCTGCCGTGAGAGCATGCAAACGGCTTTCCTAAGCCACGGGTGGAAGGGGTCTTCCAGCACCTTTTAGGGATTCTTAACAGGGTTGCATGGAGCTTTGGGAGAAAGCGGTGCTAGGGTCAGGACCAGGTGGATGCTTCTCTGGGCTGCACCACTTATTTGCTGAGGAACCTCTGACAAGTCCTGCCACCTCTTGGAGCCTCAGTTTCCACATCTGCAAAGTAGTCACAAAAATACTTGACCCTGTTTAAACCTCTCACAGGATCCCCTATTCCCACGGGGAAAAGACCAAAATTGCGGGCCAAGAGTTGACGACCCTTCAGTGCCCTGTGCCCCACTCACCTCTCCAACCTCCTCAGTGGGCACACCCTTCCCTCCATGTCCCCCTCCCAGCATCATCCTTTTCCCTCTCCAGGTCTTCTTCCAAGCTGTTCACGTTGCCTCCCTCCCAAAACCAGGCTAATTTCACCCCCTTGAGGGTAAGCTTGCCAGGGCAGTGATTCACCCCCAGTGCAGGTCCTGACACGGGGCGGGTGCTCCACAAATTGCAACCAGGCTTTAAAAAGGCAACCCTCCAACCTCAGCTTCTTCATCTACGGGAAGGGAATAAATAATAGCATGTTCCTGAGGAAGCTGTCCTGAGGATGAAATCGATGATGGGTGTGAAATTGGCACAGATAGCAGTCAGTAAGTGTTAGCTCTGGGGCTGTTGCTAGACTTAGCCTATGAAGGGTGACCTATGGTACCCGTGCTCCCTGATAACGCCAGCACGAAGGCTCAGCAGAGAAGCCAGTGAGCATCCTGCTTGGCGTATTTTTGTGATGTCTGACAGATAGATCCAAAGTAACCTTTGTCTTGTTTTTGTTATTGTTGTTTGTTTTTGTCTTTTGGTTTGGTTTTGGAAAGAAAGACAAGCAAAGCTCTGCCTCGGTTTTCCGTTTCCCTCCTGGGAAACAGGTTAACAGAAAGACCCTTCTTACAGGGCTATTGGGAAGGTAGGACTGGATGTGAAATGCACACCTGGTGTCTAGCCCCGTGTGTCTGGACACCACAGGCTTGGAAGTTCCCCTGCTAACCTGCCCCATGGTTACACCCGCCTCCCCGAAACCCCTAACCCTACCTTGAGCGTTGCACCCAGCGAGCGCAGCCCAGTGGAGTGGCGCGCCAACTTGAGCACGCGGAAGATGCGCATGAGACGGAACACCTGCACCACCTTGCCCAGGTCGCCCAGCTCCTCGCCACCCGCTCCGCCCTGGTCTCGGAGTGCCACGCCAGCCAGCAGCGTGAGATAGAAGGGCAGCACGGACACGATATCGATGAGGTTGAGCGGGTGGCAGAAGAAGTTGCGCGTGCTGGGCGCTAGCAGGAGGCGCGACGACACCTCGAAGCTGAACCAGGCGATGCAGAAGTACTCGAGGTGCCGCAGCACCGGGTCGTCGCGCAAGCCTTCCGCCCTGCGGCCCGCGGCCACCGCGGCCACGGCGGCCGCTGCCTCGCGGGCCTGGTACTCGGGCAGGCTGTGAATGCACATGGCGGCGATGGAGGCGAGCACCACGCCGATGGAGACGCAGCTGAAGAGCTTGCTGGGCAGCGAGTAGCCCGGGTTCTCCATGGTGAGCCAGAGGCGGCGGCGCAGGCGGCCGCAGCGCACCGCCCGGTAGTGCGCTAGCTCTCGCTGCACGTCAGAGATCTCTTCGGGGCACGGGCCCACGCTGCTCAGCGTGTCGCTGTCCTCGTCCCAGACGCGCGGTCGTGCCACGCGCCGCTCCAGGTAGCGCGCACGGCAGCACGTGGCCAGCGCGCTCTCGCCCAGGCCCCAGTAGTCGGCCTCCTGGCCGAAGGCGAAGACGCACTGCTCGTCGAGCACGTGCAGGCGGCCGGTGCGGTAGAAGTGCAGCAGGCTCAGGAAGAAGCCCGGGTGCCGATCGAAGTAGAACTCGCGCGCCGCCGCATCGTAGTCGTCGCACAGGCGTCGCGCCTGCTCCTCCGACGCCGCGGCCTGCAGGCGGCCCAGCCGCGTGCCCGGGAACCGCGCCAGGGCGCGGGCGCTCAGCCGCCGCCGCACGCCGCCCACGTTCACGCGCAGCGCCTCGTCGCTTCGCCGCCAGGGCACCCGGGCTCCGGGCCCCGGGCACTCGCTCACCATGGCTGCCGCGTGCTGGCCTGCGGACAGGGGATGGGCACGCTGAAGGGGGCGTTCCCGGACGGCCTCCCTTCCACGAAGACCAGGTCTAAATCCCCTCCCTGCTCCATCCCCAGCCAGGGGCGTTGGAGGCGCTATGTGAAGCGTCTGGTACGCCATAGGCACACAGTGTCAAGTGCCCTCCGGACTCAAGAGTCAAGCTTGGGTTTGAATATCCCTCACTCCCCACTCCCCCACTGGGGTCCTTGGCCAAATCACTGAGAACTCCCCCCACCCCTTCATTTTCATAAAGTGGATGCTGAGATGTCCCTTGGAGGACTATGAAAGCTGTAGGACGGCAGGATGTCCTGACCCCCGCTGGCCGCTCATTCAGGACGTCTCCTTGCCCAGACTGGGATTTTCGCATTCCAGAGGCTTCCTATGGGACCATGCGCAAGCTGGCACTCTGAAGCTGGGTTTCCTCCTCTACACAGCGGGATAGTGAGCATTACTATCTAGGGTCGTTGAGAGAATCCGTCTAGACCAGAAGTTCTTAAGGTGTGTTCCCTGGACAAGCAGCTTCACCGTCACCTGGGAGTTTGTCACAGATGCAGCGTACTCTCAGCCTGCTCTGGACTTGCTGAATCAGAAACTCAGGGGATGCGGTCCAGCAGTCTGTGTTTCAACGAGCTTGGAGGGTGATTCTGATGCCTGGTCAAGGTTGAGAGCCATTCACTTAGCCTATTTAAAGCATCTGTAGCGTCAGCCTGATTGAATTTTGGCACTCTTGTGTGACCATAAGCAAGTCATGTCACCTCTCTGAGCTTCTGTCAAGTGGAGCTAAACATATCCCCCTCCAAGTGTGGTTAGAAAGATGAAATGACCTTGAATGCCTGGCTCCCAGAAGGGGTGTCGTAAGTCATGCACCAGTTTGTCTCCTGGCGTCAGGCAAACCTGGGTTTAGAGCCACCCTTGATGCACCTGGAGCCTTGAGGAAGATGCTTTTCTCTAGGTCTCAATTTCCGGCACGATGCACAGTTCGCAATGCGGACAGTAGCACCTGCTCCCAAGGAAGGCTGGAGGATTAAGGCAGGTTATGGAAGTGCTCGGCCTTAGTGGATGCTCAGGAAATGTCAGATCCTTCCGCTGCTTACTGTCTCCAATTTCTGCTGGAATTGAGGGCTAGTGACTCACCTCCTGTGCCTCAGAAATCTCATCTGTGCTGTGGGTTCAGTAATGCCTGCTTCCCTTGGGTGGACGGGGACTGAGCGTGTATCAAGCAGCCGGCCCAGTGCCTGGCAGGGAGCGAGCAGGGTGCCCTTCACTCACCCTGGGCTTGGTGTTTAAGGGGGTCAGGGTTTCGTCCTTAGCTCTGTCACCTGTGTGACCTCTGGCCAGTCTCCTCCAGCTCTCGGTTTTAGCTCCCTTATCTCCAGAATGGGGATAGCAGCACTTCTGGTGAAGGGTTATTGTGAGTGTGTGTGCAAAGCCCCCGGAACACAATGGGTGCTCAATAAATGTCAACCCCTTGCACTTCCCTCATCAGACATAGGCTCAGATTCTGAGTCTGCCACTTACTAACTGTTGACCTTGAGCAGAATCACGCCCCTCTCTGAACTTCGGTTTCCTCGTCTGTAAACTGGGGAACATCATACTTTCCAGAAGAAGTTTTGAGGATTAAATGAGGTAAATTGTTTATCGGCAGCACAGTCCCTGGCACATAATTTGTGCACAATAAATACATACGTGAGGCAGCTCCACGCCTTCCCCCCCTGCTTGGACTTGGTGTCGAAAGATGGAGTTTCTAATCTCGTTCCATCAACCATCAGGTGCAGGACTGTGGGCAAATCGCTTTCTCTTTTTTTCTGGAACTCACCTCCCTGCTCTATGAAATGGGATGATTAACTTAACAAACCTTCCCTGCCTAGAATCTGAGGATCAGTAAGAAAGATTAAGTGATTTGCTCAAATTGCCCCGCTAGCCCATGGCACAGCTGAGGTTGGAAACTAGGCTTTTTGAGTCAAGACTCTCTCCACACATTTATTTGGAGCACCTACTATGTGCTGGTGATTTCGCTGGGCTCCAGATACACTTCGCGGGTCTAATCCCTCCACCAACCCTGCCAGGGAGGTTTTCGAATCCCATTGTGATGATGAGCAGACAGGACAGCCCAAGCCCGGCCAGCCCCACGTTGCTCCCTCCTGGGTCGGGGTTGGTGGGGGGTGTCTCATAGCGGGGACACGGGCACCGGGACCCAGGGCAACCTGGCCTCCCATTCTCGCAGCCCCCGCCCCTTCCCCGGACCTTGCCTCCCCCCCACCCCCAGGGAGGTCCCTTACCTGTCGCGGCCCCTGTAGGGCGTCCGCCGGCCGCGTGGTCCCGGAAGGTGCCGAGGCTGGGGAGCCGCTGGCCGCGCCCGATGTCTCTGCCCGGAGGCCCCGCTGACTCCTCCTTCCCCGTTTTCCTCCGTCTGCCCCGGTGGCTGAGGCCGCATCGATCGCTGCCCGGGGAAGGAGGGAGGCCGCGGGCTGTCGGAGGCGGGGGTTTCTATTCCTGACTCAGTTGGGGAGAGGGGGGATGTCTGGAGACGGGACCCAGCCAGGGCATCCCCCCACAAGTCAGGGGCCAGGGGATGAGGGGTAATTTAAGGGGCGGGGGTCCCTCTAGAGAGGGATTTTGGCCGGAGCTTCTCTGACAAAGGAACAACAACAACGGCAGCAGCAGTAATAATAGCTTCCTTAACTGAGTCCTTAGTATGGGCCAGGCACCAGGCTTCAGGTGACTTATCTAAGTTATTCCTGACACAAACGACATGCACAGCGTCTTCTGTTACCCATTTCAGAGACAAGCCCCAGTCATTTGCTCAGGGTACTTAGCTAGGAGTTGTGGACCTGGGATTGGAACTCACATCTTCCAAGATTTCCGCAGGGAAATCTTGAAACAGATCAAGCCTGAAACAGATCATTTTGCCCCTGAAGTTCAGTGTCATCACCTGCCCATAGATTCCTGATTTGTGATGCCGAGGGTAAGAGAGAACTGTGCCAAAGAGTTTTGTCAAGGTTGTGTAAACCACAAGCATTTATTAAGCACCTACTGTGTGCCTGGTTGGGGAGAGGGTCCTGAAGATTAGGACCTGGATACAGGAAAGGATCCCTACTTTACAAATATGGTTAATAATAATGATTTATCTATTGAGCTCTTACCTTGGGCCCAGTATTCTACAAACCTCATCTCTTAAACTGCAAATATATCTGTGGCGTAGGTGCTATTATTGATATTATTCCAATCTCACAGATAAGAAATGTAAGGCTTTGAGAGGTGAGGTGACTTGCTCAAGGTCATAAGGTTGACTTCTGAGTCCTCTAGACCATCACTGTCCAGTAGATGTAATGTAAGCCACATATAGAATTTAAAATTTTCTTATAGCAACATTTAAAAGCAGTAAAAAGAAACGGGTGAAGTTAGTCTTAATAATGTATTTTATTTAACCAAAATATTATAATTTCAACATGGAATCAATAAAGAAATTATTAACAAGACATTTTACATTTTCATTTTTGTGCTAAGTCTTCAAAATCCAGGGTATTCGTTTGTTTGTTTGTTTTTTAAATAAATTTATTTTACTTATTTTTTTATTTTTGGCTGCATTGGGTCCTCGCCACCGCGCGTGGGCCCCCCTCCATCTGCGGCAAGCGGGATCCACTCTCTGTTAAGGTACACAAGCCTCTCACTGTGGTGCACCCCCCCGTTGCGGAGCACGGGCCCTAGGCGCACAGGGTTCAGTAGTTGCAGCACATGGGCTCAGTAGTTGTGACTCATGGGCTCTAGAACACAGGCTCAGTAGCCGCGGTGCACGGGCCCAGCCGCTCCACGGCATGTGGGACCCTCCCGGACCACAGCTTGAACCCGTGTCCCCTGCATTGACAGGTGGACCCTCAACCACTGCGCCTCCAGGGAAGCCCCAGGGTATTAGTTTTTTATTGCTGTGTAACAAATTACCACCAACTTAGCAACTTAAGGCAATATAAAATTTATCATCTCATAGTTTCTGGGGGTCAAAAGTCTGGGTGTGGCATGGCTAGATTCTCTACTCAGGGTCTTACTAGGTTGCAGTTAAGGTGTCAGCCAGGGTGGTGGTTCTCATCTGGGTTTGGGCTTCTCTTCCAGCTCACAGATTGTTGGCGGAATTTGTTTCCCTGTGGTTGTAGAACTGACCTCCCTCTTTCCCTGCTTGCTGTCTGCTGGGGATACTCTCAGCTCCTAAAGGCTGCCTGCGGTTCCTGGCCACGTGGGCCCACAGGCAGTTGCAACATGGATGTTTAAATTCTCCTAGGCAAACCGGAGTGCTGCGTGAGCAGCCAGAGAAGATGTTCTGCTTTTAAGGGACTCCACTGCTTAGGCCAGGCCCATCCAGGACAGTCTCCCTTTTACCTACTCTCAAAGAGGAGGAGAGTATACAGGGGTAAGGGTCACTGGGAATCATCTTAGAATTCTGCCTACTACATTCACCTACAGTAAATCCCAGTTTGGGTTAATCACATTTCACGGGCACAGTAGCCACTTGTGGCTAGTGACTACCATATTGGACAGTGCATCTCTGGGCTGTGCCACTTCAGTTCTTCCCTGAAAATAAGAGATTATGCCTACAGCCCGTGCTCTGCAACAAGAGAAACCACCGCAATGAGAAGCCCACGCACCGCAACGAAGAGTAGCCCCTGCTCTCCGCAACTAGAGAAAGCCCGTGTGTAGCAACAAAGACCCAACACAGCCAAAAATAAATAAAAATTAAAAAAAAAAGAGGTTAGAGCAGGAAGATGCTCTTGTCTGATTCCCTCATTTTACCAATGAATAAACAGAGGCCTCCTAGGGAGGAAACAAATTTTTAAAATTTTAATTTACTTTAATAAATTGAAGTATAATGTTCTTATAGTGAAGTGCGTAAATCTTAAGTTACAGCTGAATGATTCTTTTTTACATATCTATGCATCTGTGTGGCAGCCACCCAGGTCAAAATATAGAATGCCACCAGCACCCCAGTAAC